GTTTGCACTAAGGGAGGGGCATGTAGTTAGAAATAGTTTGCCTAGATCCAAATTTGAAATGAGGGTGGACAACAGATTCTGTTCACTGGGTGATAACGTTTCCAGACTTCATTGAGCGAATAAAAATATTTAGGACGAGGATTTTGACACATTGACCGCAATGTTTTAGGTCACGGTGTGGTATGCCGTCTCCCCTCGATACGACGGAGCCCTTGAAGGTCTGAGAAATGGCTGATATATCAGGTGGAGTGATGGTTACGTTGCTGAAAAATGGGTGGTTACTCTGTTGTGGAGACGTGGGACGCGCGGCAGGGATTATAGGTTTGAGTTTCGGAGGAAGGGCAAGTAGCGGCTGACAGAGTGAGGTTTCAGGTTGTCGGTAATGTTGGCGGGATCGGTGATAGAACTACTACCGTTGGAACGAAGACGAGTAACGGGGTGACTTTTTTGTATACGGCGCCCACAAAATAGCCGGTTGAGTCATTTGGAGTAGAAAGGGACTCCGAGGGAGGCGTAAGGGATACCCGTAAGTCTTCTCGGTCAGGCTGCAGCTTGCTGATGATGAGCATCAACGAGAAATAACGATATGGTGGATATTCTCCGACAGGTAAAGATAGATGGAGAGATACTGGGGTGGAAAATTTTAACGAAGGAAGCGAGTTTGAGAGAAAGAGGTCGCTTCATTACCGGAGGCCAGCAAGGATGAGAAAGCCAACAAAATTTCCGGAGACAGTGGGTGAAGGAGAGGAAGAATTGGGGGAGCAGTTGCGCCATAAGTATGTGTGTTTAACGAAAGCACGGATTAATTGAAGCCTTAACCAAATGACCTCCATTTGAGAATATTATGTCTAAGGTATGTAGGCCACTACAAGGGGCTACGTAAAATCTTCGGGAAACCTTCAATACTAAGTTGGGCAGGGGGCGAGGCGTAACGAGCAGGGTCCGAATCTGGAGACCAGGAAATATCCGGTAGGTTGAAGCCACCCAGCGCAAGTTTATCTGGATGACGAATGGCATATGCAAGGGAGATAGTAAGGAAAATTGAGCAATAGGTGTGTGAGAGTGAACTGGTGGTAGATAGATGCAACCTACTAGTACAGGTAGTTTGGTATGCTCTACGGGGATCCAAATGGCCTGTGGAATCCTTTCTAGGCTAAAATCATCAATGTGTTGCACAAAGCTGCGCTTTCGAATAGATGGCTCCAGAAGCTGCTCTATTAGGTCGCTCTTCGGGTGCATCATGCCACTTACGAAGCTGCCTCCCATTTACTCTTCTCGCTCCTCGACCGTCTTGAATTAAATAGACGCTTCCCCGGCTGTCGGTAACAACAAACAGAACTTGCCATCGACCGCACAGCTTCAGCAGCCCCAATCCACTCCTTCCAGGATTCTGATGGTCCCTCCACTTGACCTTCGCGCCTGTGGAGAATGCTCGTGCCGTTTTCTGCCTAGATCTTTCCTGAACGGCGGTCAAGTTTTCTCGAGCTCTGCCTCTTTCCTCTCCGGTTCCTCCAAAGACAAGCGTCGCAAGACCACAACCCAGTTTTCTGAGCAATTGGAGGACACGGGCGTCGACCATACATAAGCGTAAACAGGGACTTGCCTGTGGTTGGCTGTATGGAAGCACGATGAGCTAGCAACACCATTGGCAAGTTTACTTCCCAGTAGTCTCCTTTGGTCGCCAGCCACTTCTTGATCGTTCACTTATTACGTTCAGTTAGACCATTCGTTTATGGGCAATACGATACCGTTCTTAGCCGTCTGATACACAGTTTCTGCAAGCAACTCCCGAACTCTTCGCTCTCGGAGCAAGGCCCCCGATAGTTAGGATCATTTTTGGCACCCCATGGTTTGCCACGATGCGATACGTTACCACTCCGCTGATTGTCGTCGCCCGTTGAGTTCGCAAGGCAGCCGCTCCGATTCACCGCGACAGGTGTTCTGTCATTATCACAATATCTTGATTCCCACTGGTCGTCACCAGAATGGAGCCCATGACGTCAACGGACCATAACTCGCCGATTTCTGAGACGGGAAATAGGTTCCGTGGGATGAATTGGCCCTGTCGTGTCTCCAGTTGGCACCACTTACAGGACACTACAGTTGGGAATAATCCTCGACCATGGAATGTACTGATGGCACGTTACAAGGCGGAAGCTCCCGGACATGCAGCTCACCCACGGCAGTCCTTGGATAGCCTTCAAGCCTGACTGTGCTATACCTTGTAACCAGCGTTCCGTGTTGTAGAGCAATCACGGAATCTGAGCCCTTGGGAAAACCTGTACCCAATACTGTCTTCTAGATGTCTGGGCTGATCAGGAACGCGTGCTGCACGGACTTGTCGCCTAGTCTTATTGAGTGCATTGACAATCCATCAATCTTCAGTCGATATCAACCTACTGCTCTCACGGCTAGTGGGCATGTTCTGCATTCAGCTTGGCTCCCTCTCCGACACAGCGATGTCCCTTCTTTATTAATCAAGGACAACATTCTCTTCCCGTCTATCTCGATAAAGACTTGCAAGGTAGCCTGTGTCACCGCGCTAATCGCAACCCACCCGGGGAATTAGGGGTAATCCAAAGTTTTAGTATGTACAAGTGTTCGGGTACGGGGGAATTGATTCTCCCAGTGGCCGAGCCTGTCACAATTGTGGCACCGGCTCATTTGAGCGTGTCCCCGTGATTCTATCTTCATGACCGCGAGCTGTTCGGCGGGTTGGTTAAATTTTTTCCGCAGGTCCTCCACATTTGAATGCTCCCTGGTCTTCTGAAACTGCAACGTGGCCAGCAGTGCCTCGGCCTATCTCCCTGCCAGATGCACCAGGTGCCCCACACTCAACTGAGCAGTTGCTCTCGACAACCGCAGCTGGACGCCAAGCGCCGGATGCACTCCTTTGATGAACCAGTCGGACAGCCACTGGAGGCAAGACACTCCGTCTAGTCTCGACTAAGTTCGATCCAGCGACTGCCGCAGGCTGGCAAAGAACGCAGTAGGGTCAGATCTTGATGCCATCCTGGCCGTCTTGCACTGAATCATGGCTTCCTGGCAGTCGGCTGGTGTGTCAAACTCCGCTGAAAGGGCTTCCTTCGCGGCGGCCCAGTCCATCTTCCGAGGGCCCCCTCTGGCCGCATCTAGGTCCGCCAACTTGCCCCGGTCGGTCGCCGGTCTAGCAGTCCCCACAACCTAAACGAAGTCCTCCAGTAGGGTCCGAACATTCCCATCCTCAAAGGACTGTGGTCACGGGATCTTCATTCCTATCCTGGCCACGACACCAAATGAAGGAAAAAACGGCTTTGCTGCGGAGTCATTTATTAGGAACAACAAGTAAAGAGTTACAGACTATTGGTCAGCGGAGCGAAACTCTCATTCGTTATATTTACAAAAACTGAATATCCAAAGTCCCATTGAAGGCGTCTTCCTGGATACTTTTTCGATATTCATTGACTTACTCAAATTCAGGTAAATGCTACAAAAAGTCTCCACAACTTCCGTAATAGCGCTCACTTTTCAGGGGAGGCGAAGCGGATTTACGAGAAAACATACTGCTCGCATGCCTCATCAGTGGTGTCCACCGTTACGTTAGTATTATGGTTTGAGCATGTAGATGTATATTAGCTCCTCGACACAGCCGAAATTACGGCCGCACGGGCTTCTGAGACACATTTGAGAAATTTATGAACAGGACGGTGGCTAGGCACTAAAAATAGACTAATCATTTACGGACTCAGCTTGAGGGCATGCTTGAAGATCGTCACTACACAGGAAGCAGGTTTCACCATCACAACAGTCTTATTGATACGATACGCGATCCGTTCCACACCAGCGGTCACTGCTACCTGTCGATCGGTCACAAAGCACTTGACCGCCGCCTGGGTTAATGTGGAACATCCTGGACCATCGACAGCGGGTGGTTAATCGCAGTAGTCAAGCCTTAGCACAGAAAAATGTCCCCGAACAGTTGAGTGCATGAGGATCGCCGCGGTTCCCCTGGATTCCAGCCCATGAAGTTTGTCCACCTGTGGACTGAGTTGATCACCCAGGCCGTTGAAAGTTGACGGCAGTGGCTTGGGAGAAGCGTGAGGGTATACCCCGTTCTGGCAGGTTGAAACCCAGCGCCACCGCTGGTGGATGGAGAAGAAACTTAGCAAATCATCAATGAATAATATTTTCTACTGCGCGGAATCATTTGGTCTCTAAATGCAGGGAACAAGTGGATGCGGAGAGGCCACATCTCCGGGCATCAGGGATGTGTAGAACCTGACAGAACAGGGGTCGGGGGTCTAGGAGCACCTGGTTGTTTGCACCAGGAGATACAGGTTAATCAACGCTCACTCTGTTTGCCCCAACAGTATGATGGTGCATTCTCGAGGGTCGCCAACCTCAAAACAAGGGAACGCGCATATTTAGTCACTGGACAGACAACATTCAGATCGCAGCTCTCGCCCTCCAGAATCTCCCTTTGGTAGTATTGGTATGAACTCGAGTTCTTTCATGGGCTACTCGGCGTGCCGGAACACCACCTGGATGGCATGCCTAAGTGACTTTCCGCTGGTTTTGCTGACCACCTACCGCATTTGTTGTACACACTGGTAACGCGAAACAGCGCTCGATCTTCGATCAGTGATTACACGCACAAATAACACAGGGTCATCCATCATATATTCCTGGAATACTTCAGATAAAGTGAAGGAGGAAAAGCAGATAGCCTCTAATTTCCCAGCAAATGAGGCTGAAGCCACTTCTGAAGCAATAGCACGGCAAGTCAAAAACGGAATGCGCGCCAATAGTTACGAATTAGGATTAATTTTGACGGATAGCGACAAGATTCACGGATTCACGGATTCACGGATTGAGGGTAGATTGGAATGGATTTCGGTGTGAGCGTACATAAAACAATTTGCAATAGTTATACGAGAAAAAGGGTATTCCGCCTCGATGCTTTTGTAGAAAAGAGCATTTTCCCGCCAGACATGAGTGATTTCATTTTATGCACTAAACAGCGCGGCACTTTTAAAATTTCGCGTTCTAATTCGGAGCTCCAGGCAATGGAGAGTACAGAAGATTTCGTTGTGGTTGACGAGGACGCGGCATCAGAAAAGAAGTCCGAGATAGATCGTCTGCGTGTTCTAGTCGAGCTTTTCACTAAGGCTCTTGGTAAGACTCACTCTGGTATTCAGACATTGCCCAAGACACTTTGAATCAGTCAAATGTGCTTCTTAAAGACGAGCTCCAGTCCGCTCTGAGTGTTACACTGCAGCATGTCTGCCCTGACAGGACATCATCCACTGACGACCTGATTAAGCTGCTGGATGGCAATGTTGGTTAATGAAGCTTCACTTCTTATCTAAATATACTTAGATTTCCAGTCCCGAGGAAGTGAGAGCAAATTATGTCAAGCGTCTTTGCTCCCGGCTTGTCGCCTTAAACGAGGAAAAATTGGCACTGCTTGCTGAAAACACAAGCCTAAGGGAATCACTGACAGCAAAAGAAAAGGAGTTTTCGGTAAGTGAACATATTCCCACTCATATTCATTTGGGGTTCCGGTGGTGTGGGATCACGATGTGCGGATTCGGAAATAATTCATACGTTGTTTCCGTACGTGGAAGAGATTGAGGTGCCGTTTTTTGCTAGTAAAAGCCTGGCTATGAACTTTGTCAACCTCAAACACCTTCAAAGGAATGTTGTGTATGCTCCTCGACAGGAATCGAGAGATGGTTCCTCTATCATATCTCCGTATCCAGAGAAATAGGATAATTTGGAGGTGTATCCAAGCTCTAATTCCAACACCAGGCTCTACGAAGTCGTCAGTATTAGCACCGATAGGAGTGTGTCTAGCGAAATAAAAGTACGAATATCAAAGGCCTGGATCTCTTTTTAATTTGCGTGAATTGTGACGTCAAAAAGGCACATTTGTCTACTACCTCATCCGCAAATATGAGCCTAAGGTTCGAGCCCAGCCAGTCTTGCAGTAGCACTCTACACTTTGCAAGTGTGAAGTGCACGCCCCAACTCTGAGGCAGAATTATTTAGATTATTTACTATTGTTTCCATTACCATGACGTCGGACCCAAGAAGAGTTATGTCTGTGTACTCGATATCTATGAGCGAATTCTTAGAGAGCACTTCGACCCCACAAGCATTAGAAGCTGGTAGTGAGTCTTCCATAGTCGTATCAGTGACGAAGTTAGAGGAAAGATGAATGAGGACAGCCATGCTTCACGCCATTTGATGTGATGAACTCAGGCGAGAGCTTCTCATAGATCTTCACACGTCCGCGGGAGTTGACGTATAGCGCCTTAATGAGGGTCAAGAATTTATGAGGGACACCTGTGCTTTGTAGACACTGCCATATTGCCTGACGGTCTGCAGGCAGCTTTCAAGTCAAGAAACGCAACCATTTATGGTTGTTTGAAGCAGTGTCACCGTTCCAGAATTTGTCGGAGGTGATTGATGTGATTGGTGCATCCTTTTGCAGGACGGAACTCAGCTTGATTTTCACTGGTCCGTCTCTCCCTGTGTTCAGTCAGCCTTCGGAGTATAGGACCAGAGAGCACTTTCGGTGGCACAGCTACCAGACTGATGCCGGGGTAGTTTTCAAAAAAACGTCCGCTTACGATTTTTGGAGATAGGAATAGTTGTCCACATGCCCCATTCTGCAGGCAATTTCTCCGCTCCATATCGCGCCAATGAGCCATCACCTCCAAGGCTTGGTGGTATGTCCCACATTCTCGTTTATCCGTGATCGGAACTGTAGCAGGTGAAACACTTCACGGAACCGATGGGTCCATAGCCCGACCTACTCGGCTGCAGGAGTTTGACCTAATCCGAGGGCGCAAAGATTAAGGCATTACTGTCTCACTCCTGCTGCGGCTGCGTACAGCTAGAAGATATGACTGCTGACGGATGTCAGTGGCGTTCCTGTTGTCAGTTTCTATTCGGATTGCCTGAATGAGTGTCTGGAAGTTTAGGCACCTCGTAGTGATTGTAAAAGTAGCACTAAGTACCTTCCATATCCACCTTTATTCTCTTCTTCACAGTAAGGCTTTCAAGTAAATCATGGTTGTACGGCAGAGAAGCATCGGTGTTGAACACTGATGTCACACTGTCGATGACGATGAGAATCGTGTGAGCTCTAGATGAGTGGCAGCTGTTGACCACGACAGTTGTTTCCGAAGTGATCGGTCCGACGGTTGAGGCGTGGTCGGAGTCCACAAATGTGTTCCAAAACGACCGGCAGTCAGCTGTTGATTTGTGCCATAGGTGACTGATGGCAATGTGATCGATTTGAGGTTATGGCCTGCATGCCGTTTGAGAACACCATGTGTCCAGACGACTTTAGCTAGTTCAGAGGTTAGTACTGCCTAAAAACAGCCTGAAACCATCACACATCTGAAGCAATCGTTCACTATTGTCTGTGCGTCCCGAGTCCAATCCATATCGACCTCCTAATTGAATCTCATACACCAAGCCTGCCCACTTGTGTATTCATATCTCTGGCAACCACCATGATACATGGGCTTTTAGCACGCCGCAACAGGATGCTCAGGGCGTTGTAAAACCTGTGTTTGATGGCGCCTGAGCTACAGTCAGTTGGGGCGTAAGCAGACGTGATAAACAGATATCGATTGAATTCCCGCTTGTGAGACTCCTTCACAGACGTTGCCAGAGGAATCGCATAGAGGGGACCGTCAACAGGTATCCAGTCGAGAAAGGATACCATTACATATCCTACTGCAACAGCAGGGGCGAGATACCTCAAGTTGCTAGGGCACGAATTTACTGACTGGAAGGTCCGTCGTTTGAACCCGACCTCTGCCTCTCGATTTCCCCTCTCTAGGCTTGGGCACCCTGGCAGTATTCCAGCCCATTCTTCTTTTGGGTGGTATGGCAGCTAGGCACCGAAAGGGTGTTGCAGCTGAATGGTTATCTTTATCTTTAAGCAGCCTCTGAATCACAGGAGGTGAATAGCCGGAAGCGAGTGGAGACCAATGGGGCGGTTAGCTCGACAACTCTGTTTGCATCTTGAATTCTTGTCTCTGAAACAGCTCACGTCAATGCTAAGCGAGTGCATTGTGAGAGAAAGTTCAGTTTGTTGTCCAGTTGCTTCCGAGTGCGGACATTGAAGGCTGCCAGACTGGGAGTCGAGTCTTGAGTATTGATTTCGAGATACCTGGGATGTCGGAGTCATGAGACGAGCAGATGTTGCACGCGAAACCGATGCAAGACGAACGGAGTCATCATTTCTAAGTGCCGGGCCTACAAGGGGAGAGTTATTAATGGGATGGGGAGAGGGGGAAGAAAAATTATGTGAAAGAGAAGGAAGGGAGGCGTCAGCAGTATCACGTTTTCGCTTACCCGTCCTGCTGTATGCAGCGTGTAAGGCGACCCAGCTGATGACACCATGCGACGGCCGATTAGGCATGAGAGTATTATTAACTGTAAATGTCATGGTTGCACGAGGGCTGGGATACTGCCAGGGCTCCCACACCTAGACAGGAGGACGATTAGAATCCTCAGCCAAAGCCTTTGGCTCAAAAGCCTAACCGCAAAGCAGCGGTATTGGGCTGGAAATGCAACTACATTACCCATTTTACAGAACACGTGGCCATACATGTTCCAAGCGCCAAACTAGAGGACCAGGAGACTGTGTTTGTCAGCCTGGTATGAGAGATTGTGAGCGTCGCGGGGAAACCTTACAGTATAGCTCAATGGGTCACTGAGGTGCGCAAATCGTCACACTACTATATGATCCAGTCTCTTCGTGGCGGATGGAGTTCTTAGTGGTGTGGGCACCTCAGAATGCGCGACCCCCTTATGCTTGGTTAGAGATATACAAGAGATGGTGGCTAATGGTTGTCAGTGGCGTTAGTGCTCTTAGTTTCTTTCCACATTGTTGAATTGAGAGCCTGTAGGTGTAGGCACCTCAGAATGCTTGCGATAGTCAGACTTGTCTACTCTGCTTTTCACTCTAAGGGCTTAATTATGATAAAAATAGCTTTGCGGCTGTAAAGCATCAGTGCCAACACTGTTGTCGCGGTATACTCCATCTGCTTGATTAGCTATTACACCAATAAGCAATTTAGACTTAATTTATTTGGCCTCTTGAGCCCACTGAACAGTCCGGGATAACCTGAGATAGCTCAGCGATTAGGGCACGAGTTTACCGACTGGAAGGTCTGTGGTTCTAACCCGAACCCATCATCTCGACTAACAGTATCTCAGCTTTCGTGCTTCTCTCGGGTGATCTGGCAAGTGGTCACCGAAAGGGTATTGCATCTGGACCATTCTGATTATTCACCTAATTTCCACACATATTCTACTCCATGCAGTTTAAGTGCCTCCTGTGTGATTAATGGGGGACTTTTGCTATAACCAGCAATTCACACTGGGGAAAAATTACATGGCAAAACCAGTCACTCTCTTGGATTTCTTTGGTGCTAGTTTGTTATGAGCGCGATGCCTTACTTAGTTTTTAGGGCACAAATCACCGTACGTGTTCCGAAATGAAGCATGCATGACCGAGAGACTTTTCATCGAACCTTGCTTTACTATCCAATCGAGTATTAGGAACTGCAGGTCTCATGATAAAACGCGTCACTATATCTCACTTGGTCACGAAGGTACGCAAGCCGTCGCCTTGCGGGCGGCGGCGTGAACTGTACTGATAAACGTTCCTTCCACTCTGATCATTACGTTTATGTGTCTCTCAGTAAACCGTTCAACTGTTTTCTATAACCGGGAATGTTAGTTAAGGCATAACGTATGCCCCGGGCTGAGAGGTTGCTGGATTGTCTGGGTCTTGATAGAAGCAATGGGACTGGAAGCAAATAGAAAAACGCAGTCATGGAATAATTAGACAGCTTTCGGTTCCGATTGGATTTTAGAAACCGACGACCTATGGGGCGATGGTTGAGTTCCAGAAGTGACTCATGTCGTTAGTACCAATGAGTGGTGCCTATTGTGAGTCTGAAGATTCTGACTCAATTTTATTTCCAGTCACGAGTTTCATAAGCGAAGTGGAGGCCCGGTTGTTCGGCATCGCTCTTGATGGTCCACATTTGACGACAGTGGCATTCGTGGCAATACGTGAGAACGAATCTACTTTTTTGGGTCTCGGCGTCGTTCTTGCTCTGTAGACTTCCAAACAACTTAGGACCTTGTCCTCGAGAAAGTTTAGGAAGGACATTACACTCCTTTGCCTCTCTCGTCACCTGACACCCCACCTATGCAGCGGACTCAAAATAATTTGGTTGTACCTGTGAGGGAAAGCTTATGCTTCTGTATGTCTTCCATCCTTAAAGATACGTTCCACAGGCGTAAATCGAGACTGAACGGACGGCATCGAAGACCCGAGTTTTGTGCACTAACTGACTCAAGTTATCGAAAAGACAGTTTTAAGCTGAATGAAGCATGTTGAGCACCGTTGTCGCGCTGTTGACTTTCCTATTGTGCATACCCATTCAGTGAACTAATGACTAATGCCTAGCTTTTGAGTGATTAAACAGGCACCTTCATGCGAATGCAGGAAAAATGGCCTTAATAGCGTTGGTTTCCAAATTTTTGACTTGCGTGGGGTACATTGGAGTCCTTCCGTGTGCTTGGTCAGCCGAACCAATGTAAGCAGTGAAACGACTCGTACTCAAGTGTCAGGTAATGAGTCAGACTGGCCTGAGCAGGGGTCAAGTTGGTTGAGACATGCACTACGTATGCCTGATCACCATCTACCAAAAGGAGCCGTATTTTCCACCCGAAGCCCTTGTTGACGAAGACCTTGTGGAAGACACACCATCGTGCATGAACGCGGATCTAAGGCGGCTACTGTCAAGTTGGGCGTTGTGGGATCTATTGGATGCAGACACTTCAGGATATGGCAGGTAACTTGTCCCCTTATCGAGCCCGCCAATTGGACCCGTCTCTTCCCTTGCGAAGATTTTATTTGCTTGACGTCACGCGCTTGCTTCGTGTCTCGGAAGACCATAACAACAAGAGGTTTTAGAAGACCATAACAACAAGAGGTGCGCAGACAGTTGGCTACAGAGTGAATCAGACGAATTTCGAGATAATCGTCATTTGCAGTTATGGGCGATTCCATGATTTATGCAATGTCCGTCCAGAATGGTGTGCTACTTTACCTACAGAGTTTGGTTACCTTTTCGTGAATCGCCCATGAGTCAGCTGCCTTGGATGGATGGTCCTCTGTTGGCTTTTAAGCTAAGGACATGGCTTCCTCAGACAGCCAGCTTTTGTTACGTCATCGTACAGTCTAGGTGATCCATTGTAGTTTGTTGCGTGAAGATATTCGACGTTTTTGCTGGTCACCTGGATCCGGCCGACTCTGTGACCGATTAGATCTTTTTGTGCCCAACTCAGAAGGCGAGTATCACAAAGCCTTCGACAGCTACTGAATATTATGGTGTTGGTACGATTCAGAATGTCCGGCTTGTCTAGCCTTCGGTCTGAACTCCTTGTATTTCCAATATTCACACCATAAGACCTAAGCTATTGATGTCGATCACCAGGATATGGACTCTATGGGACACTGTAACCCTTGTTCAGCGAATGTCTTTTAGATATCGAAAAATCGTACAACTAACGGCGAATTTCCCGCTGGTAACACAGTTAATGGTTCTCCTATTGTTCCTGTAGCGTCCGCTATTTGAATAACTTCGGTGTTGGAGACTTGACCCGTCACTTGATCTGCAGTGTCTTTCGAGGGTGTCGCAGGTGAAACCGATCGAGAACTCAATATTTCACTGTTAATAAGGAACAATAGATAATCGTTCAGCTGTGACACCATTTCGGTGCCTAGCTACCATGCCATCTGAGGGAAGCACGAGGACTGGGATGCTGCCAGGTTGCCCAAGCCTAAACAAGGGACGTTGAGAGGCAGAGTTTGGGTTCGAACAACGGACCTTCTGGCCAGTAAATTCGTGCTCTAACCATTTCGCCCTCATTTATCTCTTACCCCGGTTTCGCTGCTATACGGTACAGTTGAAAGCACAGCACCTCGATTGAATGTGATCATGATGTTTCGGTTGCACCAGATGCGTTTCTGAAGTCGGTTGGATGCTGTACCAGCCCTCGCAGCTCGTGTGTTAAACTAACCGTCGGGCTTCAGATCTGTGGATACTGTATCAAGCTAGCAGAAATTCGGGAATCACGTTTTTACAACTATTAAATTGCCTGTCTGGCCTTTGATTTGGTTTTTATGAACGTTTGTGAACATTCGTATCGCAACCAAAAGCTTGATGTTATTGCAGTGAAGACAGAAGTCTGGACTCCGTGGCATTCTGAGGTGCTAATGTTTAAATTTTTTCTCTTGCCAAAATTTGTTTCTGTCGAGTAGTCTGGTTTATGGGTGTGAAGAAATGACGATAAGGTCTTTCTTTGTCAAGATGACAAAAAATCCTTAGACTAACATGCAGGCGTATGCGAGCTAATTGCGTAGAAATTTTTACAGCGGTTGGTAAAACTTCACCGACAGCTTACTGCCTGGTTTCCCGTCTGGGACTCGTCAAGTTGCTGTAACTTGTTATTCGTATGTTGGTTCTTGGCTTACTGTTCCACCCACAATGATATATCATGAGTCATGGTAACTGGAGACAGAATTTGATGGAAACAATGTAAGATTACTGCGGGTGTCTTTACAGAGCGATCCAAAAACTACCCACAATATTGACCTAGAATCTTCCTGATGGGACGAGAAGTGGCGATCGGAAAATGCTCAATTCTAGTTAGTCCACATCCTGGCCTATCAGGACATATCTTCGTTTGGTCCGTTTGGTCCAGTTGATACACTGGTCGGTTATTTGGAACGGCTCGCCTCCGGACAAAATTGTCCGCAGGCCTTGCACTTCACTAATCGATCGAACATCCGTTTGCCTATATGTCGGATGATCCACTCTTTTGCATGCCATTTTGGTGTTAAGTGATAACCAAGCAAACATCCTACAATTCGCTTCCTCATTGTCATCATCTTCAGCCGTAAAGCCGCGTACTTGTTGTGCAGTGTTTAAGGCTGCCACAGTTTCGTTCACCGATGATCTAGGGAAATAGGGGTAGATAGCCACGCATTGTAAGCGGTAGCTGATATAATTAATGCGTCAGTACAGGGTTGTCAGTACACTTTTCATTAGGGAGACCGGGGGGGGGGGGGACTACGCATTGAAGGCAACACCTTGGATAATGTATATTACAGGGCTATTACAAGGCTTATTTAATTCAATATCGTGTCCCTGTAAATAGTGGGGAAATCGACAACGAACTTCCATGGATCTGATTAATTATATATTATATCAACTATAAATTGCAGCTTCAGCTGAGTTGCACTAGAAGCCAATTTAGATTCCATCATTATACGAGCGTTGCATTCAGTGGCGATTTTGGTTCATTTTTCTATCTTCTGTGGGAACGGAGGCTTTCCAGAAAATGCGTGTCCAACAACGGTGTCTCCTATAGTAAACCCTTTTTTGCCAATCGTAACTGGCAGATATGTCAGACGAGGCTTCAGAAAAGTCACCGGTTATACATTTTGTGCACTCATCGGGACCTTAACGCTTCTGAAGTCTTCGTATTTTATATAGGCTGCATGGTAACTACGCGTTAAAGTGATGATATAACAGAATAACTTTTTTGAGGGTATTGTATATCGGTTTAGCTCAATTTATGCAGTTGGATGTCTCGCAAAGTGCTACTCATTCATGCGAATCAGATACCTACATGCTGTTCATCTCCAATTTTAGGACCAAGTGGCTGACGCCAGCCTTACAACACGGAATATCGAGATGGTTCTTGAGCAGTTGGAGGACGGTGATACAAAGTGAGTTTTCCAGTCCCACTACTTCAGAACTTAACACTCAGTACTTATTCTCTGGCATTCAGATCTTTTTACCAATCCTAGCTTATGCTAAGATCTTTTCTCACATGGGTTTTGATGCGGGCGTGCTTCTCTACGCAGAGCACCCAGTGCTTATTTCTTTTGAAACATGCCACGGAGTTTGTAGGATTAGTGTGGTCCCATGCTACTAGGGCTTGGGAGCATGTGAATATATTCAAGCGTCTAGACGAACCAAAACCCAAGTCCCAGGTCTGAGTCTTCGGTTTGTGATTTGGCTGCATCCCTGGCTTTCCACAGGCTGTTTGGGAGCTGCAGTACCTGGGAGATCACCATCGTCTTCAGCTGTAAAAACCGCGTGCATATTGTACAGTGGTTATAGATGCCACAATGTCGTTGGCCAATGGTTTGGAAATATAGCAGTAGGTAGCTGCGCATTGAAGGTAGCAGCTGATGCGTGAATACAAGGATGGATGTGAAGTGTTCATTGGAGAAGTCGAGTTGGGAAGCTGTGTGTTGAAGACAACGACTTGGATGCCTGCAGGCTTTTGAGCGCGCGGAAGCGTTCACCAGAACCGCATGGTTCCCTACTCCAGACCCGTAGTATTGATTATTTGGTCTTTTTCTAACTTGCAGAAGAATGCGACTTATTGGAAAAGTATTAAGTGAAGACCCGCCGCTTGTTCCTCATTTCCTACAGCTCGCCTATTTCGCGCCTTCTCTCGAATCAGATTGCATGTGTTTGCAGATCGTAATGGTCGGCTCTAAAGGGTAGGAAACTTCTGTTGTTGAAAGGGTTAAAAATTACAGTAGGTAATGGACGTATCTACAGTCAGGCCCCTTCTAAACGACACTGGTTCGTCTTGCAACACTTTAATTCTTTCGCCAGAAATCGGACATGATATCGAAAACAAATTAGTAGTCATCTTCACTCTAGTATATATCTTCCTAAGCATTTACCTCGAGCATCGCTGGTGACAATTTGTGTGTTTGCTTCATTAATGTTTGTGCAACCAAGAAAGCATATCTTAGAGGGCGTTACCGTGGCTTGTCTAAACGGTTGTCTGGAATACACACGGGCTTCGATTTCTATAATCTCAGTCTATTTCGTGCAATTTAACCTTCAAACAAATGTCGATTGCACTAACCTGGTATGAAATCTGTCAGTATTATTTTTGTCCATAGGGTTTACTTTGTTGCATTTTACTTCAACCCTGCCTCGTTCCTTGAGCCGTGGACCTACTTGATAATTTGTACGGAGACCCACCTTGCTACTCGGTCACGTTTGTCAACCATGTGAAGTTCGATCACGTGCTGATCGTATTAACTTTATCGACATATGTAGACGTGGTTGCTGATGCGCAAACCTAAACCTGACCTTGGCCATAGCAAGATCACTCGCGTAGGTTTGTGGAAGCATTCGTGTGCATCAGCTTATGCCTGATGGTCGGCTAATCTCCAGTTGTTGCTGCTTTGTTTACCGTTGCTTTACTGACGTGTGTGGTATGGTCGACGAAAGTCAACTTGGGTTTTAAGAGAGTTCTGATGCTTTTATTGGATGATCAGGGACCCGTTTTCTCTCCTTAAACTCTTTTTTCCCATTTATTCGATTTTTCGCATTTCCCACAGTGTTTTAGGTTATCATTTCATGTATGGTATTCCTTTCTGATTTTTTCCATTCTGTAATAATATTAAGAAGCATGGTTCTCTTGTTTTTTTTTTAAAAAAAAATTAGTTTAGCCTCGTATACTAGAAATTGTGTTGAAGTTTGCACGGTGTTTTTCTCCTTCGCGTGTGAATTTTGTCATATTAGGAAAATGATTGTACCACTTTAAGGATGAGCCTGCAACGTTGTGGATTTTGGACTTGCTCAGCCATACTTTTTCACTAGAGAGGTTGGTGCAGCAGATTCACCTGATTGACGGACTATCTCCCTTGCACGTCATGTATTTTGTATTACATATTAAAGCAAACTTGACTCAGAGCCTCTTGCGAACGTCACCCAGCATAAACCTAGCGCACGACTCTTTCCTTGGTAGACAAGCACTCCAACGCCAGGTTTCTCCTCATGCACCGTTTTGTTGCGTACCCACCTCAGGCATACTCACTCTTGCAATGCTACGAAGACAACGGCGGTGAAGGGGTAGGACAAACAAGGATGCAAGTAGCCCTGCAACAATTTACAAGACAACAGAATCAACCAATAACTGACCGAGTCCAGTTCAAAGCCTGTCCTATTTCAGGCAGACTTTTCAAGCTTTCGGTATTTCATGGTGTTCAGCTGAAGGTCACTGCAGGTTACGGTCCTTCGGTCACAGGGCTTCATTTGTTTTAGTCAGCAATGCAGGTAAACCGCCGGGGTACCGCAAACCCGTATCGAGGTCGCGTGATGCAAGCTATTAACGAACCACTCAGGAACCGGACCTAACATTCGGGCAAATGTGAACAACCAGTATAGGGTTCAGAACGGCGTTCCGGAAGATTGCTTGTAGGCTAATAAAAACGCATTGATTTTGCCCAGAACTCAATCGAGACTTTTCCTCAATTAATTTCTGGGGTCACGACAGGTAGTCAGCCCTTCGAAGGCGTGTAAGGTCTTGGATCGGGAGGCGGACGAGTTTTGTAATAATGAAGCAAGCCTACTGTTATAGTTTCTCTGTACTGTGTATACCGTCTTTCGTCTTCGGCACTAGGTCTGTTTTTATGATGGATAAAGGTATGCGCCGTTCACTGGTGGTGATTACACTTTAATTCACATTGTAGTCTCGTGTTATGCTGCGGCAGCCTTAAATGGAATATTATAGTTGGCTTGCACCGCGGCAAAGTGCACTGCGATCCGGGTTGCAATGATCCTTGGAAATATATGTTGATCTTACTTTAGCGTGCCTCACAAGTTTACTTTGCCTTACATAAAAAGTTTCGGTGGAAAGGTCGATTAAAATGTACGACTGTATATTAGGTACAGCCATGTAACGAACTTGCAGCACATTCCCATGCGAATGCTTGCAAATAGTGACTGGATGAGTGATCTTCAACCCTTCTTTTGGGTTTTATTGTAGTTTGTTTTCGGGACCCTGCCATAGGAGGCTTGTTCGTGCTCAGTTAGCGGTAGTATTGAGGAGGCGTCCTGACCGTATTAACCTAAACTGCAGTCACGATCATCCCTTCTTAGCAGACTTCGATGGGCAGTCTTGAGTTGGTGCTGCCATAATGCTGGGTGTCAAGCTTTTTGCCATAAATGGCCTACTCACCATAAAAGATAGCATTGGATGCTTTAGTTAATACGCAGGCAACCGCATTTCCCAACGATGTCGCACATCAATCAGTTTATATTTGTTTATATCAGTTTATATCAAAGACGCATCGTGCCACTCATTGCCATCGACGTTTCGGAGCTTAGCAAAAAGTATCCAACCTTTGCGGGATAAGGCTATCCTATACGTTCATTCCAGACTTCCAATCGACATTCACTCGTGTCTCTACTTGAGCGATCGTGGTTTAAATTGTTCATTGTGTTACTCTGCTAGGTTACACGTGGTGAAGCTGTACTCATCCGCTCTATATCTGTACAGTGTTCAAATTCGTCTGATTTGCAATCACCAAACCGACCGCGTGGTTGAAGATGCATACTTTTGTGCCAAATGCTGATAGTGGCTTACTTGTTAGGCTAGCTGATCCCTAAAATAGCAGTCATCGAATTTTTAGCACACTGTTGGATTGATTAGCCTCGTTTCGGATCGATTGCGGTGCAACTATGCTCCAACACACTTTGATATCTGTGATGGTCATTCCTGCCTACGTGTCTGTTTATCCCTTTGCAGCAGATTGTTAGAATAAGCGCCAATATTCACTCATCCATCAGGTCACCATTCTTGTTTTTCATTGGTTCGAATTACTTCCCATGTTTTCTTTAAAACTACGCCACCGTGAAAAAACAGGCGGCACTGTCCATAGACTGTGTAAATAGAACAATGTTTAAATAAGATGGACAAGTTTCCTTCATCGATCCGTCCCTGAATGGGCGTAAGATTGCGGCTGTTTTCACTGAACACTGACAACTCAGCCCAACGGCTTTTGGGGTTGTTATAGATTGCTCGGCTTTGTCTCCAGGGCTGATTGGACGAGTTAGCACGTTTTCCACCATTTGATGAATATAATCCTGTTAACCACAGCTGGGCGGTTGTGGCTTCGACAACCTCATTTGGGATGATGAGGAACGCACTTCTACAATGAAATAACTCAGCATTTGTTCTCAGATTATCAGCTCAAGATATAGAGGATTAAGCTGTGAGCTACAGACGTAAGGAACTGCAGCTGGAGTCCACCTTCGGTTTCTCAGGGCCTCGCGTCTAGAATTGGATAACCTGGAGCATCGTGGTCTCATTCCGTTCACATTGCAAGCTATAGATTGTTCGTCAATACCTTCCGAAACGGCGATTTCTCAGTCGGTTTCGAACTTTCTGCAACAGTTTGGTTGATCAGCACTGGCAGTTTATACAGTTGACCGAAGGCACAACATTAATGACTTTTGCGACAAGTGATTATGATTCACAGCATTGTAACTGATGACCGAGGTTGTTAAAATCGCCACAAACTGATTGGAGTTCAGAGCGTACTGCTCGTGAGCGCTTGGGCAGCAACCTCAGTATGTAATTACCAGAATGTGGAGAAACCTCTAACCTGAGCTCATAAAACTTGGGGAACACCTTGTCAAATAAGCGACATTCAAGTCACTCACCATCATAGGTCTTACTGCAATGGGTGTTCTGTTAAATGACATTTCATTTTTATTCGGAAGCCACCTTTTTTTACTAATTAGCCGAGAAGGCAGACAACTTTAGAGCAAGCAAATTTAGAGCGTACGCCACATTAACTCATCAATCCATTGTTATTCACCAATTTCGGGGCATTTGTTTCGCTAACCGATTAAATTCGCATGCACCATAAATGTTTTCAACCCTCGGTCGACAAAAATTCAATCTCCCTGCGATGCCATCCTAGTGTTTTTCAGAAACTGAACAGAATATAGTGGTTTATGACTCTTACATTCATGTTACTGAATTTACTGGATTGTACTGTGCTCTTTTTCCCGTCTTACTCAGTCCTCCAGACATTGTCTCTGCGAGCACGACAATTGGGGATCTGTGTACCAGTTTGAATTCAATATATAATCGTCTTTCGAAACTCCAGCTGAAACCAGAAACCATCGGCGGAGCAGAAGGTTTGTTTACCGTATTGTTAGCTCTTGTGCTGCATTGGACAAATCTGCATTAAGAGATACGGCTAGAGAGTGTTCGCTGTGTACGTTATCGCCGTCAGGTTATACTACTTTTTGGGAGATTCTGCAGTTTGTTGTCGACGATGTGTCAGTACTTGGTTTCACCCTGCTCCACATTTTGGCCACTACTTACATTTATTTTTGGTAATGCGAATCTCTGACATATGGCTTTGAGTGATGTACAAGGCTTGTGGTATCCTTAACGCTTGTACGACCCCAGTCTATATTTTGGTTTGCCGGCCACCGAGCATTGCACAGTAACACGTAAAACATGTAACTATGCCATGTGGTTACCGTAACCACACAGTGAAGCTGGAAATAGCTCAGTGGTTAGGACGTGTGAACTTAGTAGCCAGACGGTCCGTGGCTCGAACCGGACCTCATCATCTCGATCTCTTTCTTTAAGGCCAGGGCAACCTGGCGATGTCTAAGCCCTCGGACTTCCTGCGGGTGGCATAGCATCTGGACGCGGAAGGGGTGTTGCAGATGAATGATTATTTCTATAGTATTATTAATAACCAAAGCGTGTTACGCAGCGATGAATGAAGAACAAATAGGTTGCCGACAATTGGTTGGGGGGAATAAGGACGATACTTAAACCCACAGAATAGGACTAGAACTGGTGGTCGATTCAGTTAGTCCTGCCTTTTGCGCCAAACGACAAACTGATTGACAGGCACAGGCAATCGGATGATGCTTGGTGGCTACACTGTTCAGCTGCGAGCGTCATATTAATTCAGGATTGATCAAAGCCATTATCTTATGTGGGGATTTTTCTCCAAAAATTTTTCTAACGGACCGAAGAGTGAGTGATATCAGAGCTGGGGTGGTAATTCTCCCGGTGATGAGCCAATTTCGTGCTTCCTTTGGGTGGCATAGCAGCTAGACACCGGAAGGGTGCTACAACTGAACGCTTTCTTCTTTCTAATTTCGTGGTAACTAGTGTGCATGAATGCATTCATGTCCTTGCAAGTGCGGCTCACTTCTTGAATAGGGTCTTTAGAACGATGGAATGTGTGCTCGGATATTCTCGATATGCACAGCAGTTTCTTCAGCGGGGACTACCCACAAAATTGGCTGAACAATAGCAGTGATGATTTCTGTTGGGTGTAATCAACTTGTTATGTGGATAGGAGACACTAAAACAGAGTTGTGAACGATTCTTAGTCCTTTTCTTAAGGAGGATGTAGTCGTTCTTGTAAAATGGAGAGTGTTGGTAATTGTGTAACGCAATCTGATCAATAGGCAGCGGAAAATCAAATAAGGATGGACTAGGGTGAACTCGGGGAACGGGGATGAACTCGAAAGGAAACATGAATTCGAGTTAACAGAAAACATGGTGCGAAAGCAGTGAACGAGTTGATGGATATTACCAAACGTTTTTTGCCCGAAAATCTGATAAGAGTAGATGAAATATGTTAAAATGAGTTGATCGCCCCATTCCAGCGCTTGGTCGACAGAGCATTTGAGTGCCTCTTTCAGCGACAGTGCTTAATAAGTCAGTCAACGATTGGCATCTATTCCGTCGCTGATGAATCAGTTCATCAGGCTGCATGCTCGGTTTGATCTTTGCGACCGATGGTACTGAACATTGTAGATGATGGCGCATAACTGTTCTTCACCTCAGGCTTTAGCGTGGGAGTATTCAAATTGGAATGCCTTTGTTTAGGTAAATGTGAGCAATCAGTGCAATACTCAGTGCACGGACGGGATTCTACGGTGTTTGGTTGGTGGTTTCTCCGATTTGGGTACGGTAAGAGGAATAAAACCTGTGGGTTCTTCATCTAGTGTGAGTCCGACTCACCTGGTGTTTGAAGCTCCGGAATGTTACAGACTCACCAGTTGTCAGTTTTTGACTACTAAGTAGTCAAGGCTCGGAGGTCCATGGTTCGATTCCAAGACGATCACAAAATACTACTCTACTCTAGCCTCTCGTCTCTTTCTTGCAGTCTTTCCGTAATCAATACTAGCGTTCTCCACAACTTTTTACAATTTTGTATGCACTTTGGACCGATAGGCTGTATATTCACCTCCTTCAACTGTATTAATCCAACTTGTCTTCGCCGTTGTGAACAAGCATGATGGAGCACTAGACCTGAAATAGCTCAGTGTATCGAGTTAGCTCAGTGGTTAAGGTCCGTAGTTCGATCCTAACCCCGGCATCTTAAGCGCAGCTGTCTACCCTTGGGCTACCCGACAAATTCTCAGCCCTCGCGATTCCTTCGGGTGGCGTGGCGGTTAGGCACTGGAAGGGTGTTACGGCTGAACGACTGTCTCTCCTAATTCAATTCAATTCCAATTTATCAGCTATAAACCGTGCACCATGGGTACATGTTCCAGTTTGAATCACCAGAAAGTGGGAGATCGTGGGACATACTGCCAAGCATTGGAGGCGATGGCATGTTTAGTTAGTTTGGGAACTGGGTAGCTAGTCAGTGAAGGTGATAGCTTTGACGAACGAGCATCGCTGAGTGCTCGATCGGGCCACTTCTGGCAGCGTGGGTTGGGTTCCAGGGTTCTTATTCACAGAGGTGGCAGTTGTCGACCCGACTCAGTTTTCATACTTCGTTTCCAGATCATGCACTGTCAACCTCTCGGTCGCTTACACTCAGCGCAGGGCTGCGTGCAAAGAGCTCTGCGAGGCGGACGGTCTTCTGGCATGCGGAGTACACGTCCTTGTCAGCGTAGCGTGTGAAGCGCGAGTAATTCACCTGTCGTGGTAGAGTTCCTTATCAGAATCATCTGGTGTACCTAATTCGGTGTTCCCATCAGACCCGACCAATCCTTCGAAGACACCGACGGTCAAAAACCGACAGTCTTCGTATGTTTTCTGCGAGTGGAGACCACGTTTCTGATCTATTAACTAGTATGGATTGCGCTACCGCGGTGTAAACTCTGCCGTTGACGGACAACCTGATATCCCTCCTCGTCTGGATCACATTGAAGTGCCACTAAGATAGTTAGGACTATGGTTCCTAAATTGGTTGTTTTTGGTCCCAGACGGTGGCTATATCTAAGATGCCTTATCCATAATGTATACCATTACCTCGGGATTCATTACCACTCCTGCGCGAACAAATCAGGCTATTTACCAACTGAGTGAACATGCCTTATTTGAGGCTAAACTTTTGTGCGACCCACTGTTTCCTGTTTCCTCTTACAGCCCTTAGTGAGTGCCCAAGCGCAGTGAGCGAAACAAAGCCTGTACCTCGGACAATGGTTTCTGTGGGTGTACTAACTTGCGATGAGCAGTCCACCTCACCTGGCACACCGAAACCTACGGTATGTTTTCAAATGTTTATCTGCCCGAAACATTGTACGAACTTGGCAAACACCGCCCGTTTCGCTAAGCAACGTGTTTATTAAAGGGTTTCTGGGGTTTTTGTTTTATAGTTGATTTTTTTCACGATAAATTCCTAGAACATCTGAGGTTTTTATTTCAGTATAGCACTAACCATATGATTAATGATACTGTGGAATGGCGGTACATCTCGCACGTGCTGGCTAAAAATTGTACAAACATCAGCTCCAGTGTTTACGTTTGTGAGCTAGGCTGGGGAAGCACGAGTCCGTATGTTGCCTAGGTCCACCTGATCGGGGATACACTGGGGAGATTGAGCCAATGCCGGATAACTGGATCACTCTGTAGCTCTGAGGTGCATCGTGTCTCAAAGCATCTCGGCACGATACGTGTACGGCACGTGTACGGTGCTTACTTCTTATGTAAGTTAACTTAATTAGGAGTTTGTCCAGCCTAGCCAAAGGTCGTCTCAATATCGAAATCGGAGATCTTTCCGATCTCGAACTTTGTAGCTGACCATGGACAAGTTGCCTTGATATGCTGGTTTCAACCATTCGTCTCAATTGCCTCACCTGGTGGGGTCGGTTTCGGATCGCACCGTATTCGATTCCATTTGTGTTTGCTGTTCGAAAAGCTTGAATGTTCGGGATTTTGTCCGTCCATTTGATCTTAGAGATTTTGTGCATACATTACAAATCGAAATGCTCGAGTTCTTATGCTTACCATCTGTATTGTGTTTTTGCATTAGTGGAGACATCACCATTCATGACGGCAACCTGTCGTGTCGGGAGTTTGGTCCGTGTAGACTGTGCCGTCAAGATCGCGCGATTTCGTACAGAACGCTATCTCACAACTATTCAGTTGTATACCGTGCGACTACTCAGTTCCAGCTAACAAAATAGAAGTGTTTTAGAATATGCATAAGC